TGGTAAATTTAGAGATTCTGAATTTGTCAAGTAATGCAATACGGTTTTTGGATGACGAATCAATGGCAAATATCGACATACTTCTCAAACAAAGTAAAATAATAAAAGTTGACTTTAGCAACAATATATTCCATTGCGACTGTTCCAATGTTCCTTTTCTGAATTAGGTGAAAATTAGTCGTCGTCATTTTATTAATTTTGATCAGTACAAATGCAATTCTAACCATGCAAGTAGTTCAAAATTCAATTCATTTGAAGAAAGAATATTTTTTTTACAAAAAAAATTGTTTGAACTATATTATTTCAATAATGATCACGTGTTCCACTGTAGTCATCTTCATAGCAATATTACTTATAATTGCTATTCACAGAAACAGACGGAAACTCCGTTTTATGTTTTATACATTAAGAGGTAGATGTCACTTCCTATACTAAAAATAAAGTTAACGAAGTTTTCGGTCTACAAAACACTCAGAAAACAAGTTGGATTATATTTATGATGCCTTTCTGTCATATTCAGATGAGGATCGAGCATTTGTTTTAAATGATTGCATAAAAAATCTTAAAGAAGAAGGAAATTTAAAGTTATCGTTAATCATTGTGATTTTGTTCCAGGAGAGGATATAACAGATAACATTACACATGCAATAGAAAACAGCCGAAAGACCATCTGTATAATTACATGGTATTTTCTACAGTCTTTTTAATGTATGTTTGAATTAAAATGGCTAGAAAGAAAAGTGTTCACTCAAGAAAAGGAAAAAACTTTGTCTTTCTTGTATTTTATGAACAATTATTTACTGAGGAGTTTCCTTTGTTTTTTTTATGAAGTTTATTTTAACTACAACAATTTGAGTACCCCCCCCCCCCCCCAAATAAGAAACTTGAATGGGAATTAGGAATTATCACCAATGTTTTTCGTACACTTTTGTAACGTGTACACAGGGTAAATAGTTATCAATGGTACCAGGATTACAATTTAATACGCCAGAAGCGCGTTTCGTCTACATAAGACTCCTCAGTGACGCTCAGATCAAAGTAGTTAGAAAGCAAAACAAGTACAAAGTTGAAGAGCATTGAGGACCCAAAATTCCAAAAAGTTGTGCCAAGCGTGTCTATTTCTATTTAGGATGAGTTCGTTACCAGTTTGATACTGGATTCAAAATGTTCTACTACAAAATATTAGACAAGTAAACTTTATTCACAAATTAACGTCAATGAATCAAAATATGTGCAACTGCTCTTTGCGTTCTCTAATAAATTTTTTATAACTATTCTATTTAAAATATATATACACTTAGTACAAATTTGTACTATTACGAATATGTCCTGGGTCAGGAACAAACTTGTCCTCCTGTTACAATTATGTACCCTACAAGTTTACACACTTGTCCTTGATCTCTTGGTACAATTATGTACCCTACAAGTTATCACACTTGTCCAATACGGTTCAACTATACGGTTCAGCTTGTAAACTCCAATTTGTACAAGTCCGTATTTCTAACAGGCACCAACCCGTTCTTTATTACACTTAAGTAATAGTAACTATTATAAGAGACAACGATCTCAAATATCAACGTACCGTAATTTCAGGTCTTCGTCTTCTAAACTTATGACAATCGACCCTGAGCAAAATATTGCTCCTGCTTTTATACTCCAATGGTAGCCGTACCATTCTTTAATGAGGGGTGTTCTACAAAAGTGCCTCGTACTCGTATTACAGTTTCCTTTGGAACACCCATTCTATTGGTTTGAATCAATTATTACATATATCTGTGTACATTGATATATCAATCTCATTTGCAAAGTGTAAGATATGCCTCCCTTTTTCGAAAGTCACACCAAAATATGTTACAACGAATGCACGAATTTTATTTTGTTGCACGATAGGAGTTATGCCTTTTCTCATATAACATGGTTTGCATTCTAGGTGACATTGTTTTAACTATATGAAAATGGGGCTCAACATAAAAACTTTAATCAATGATCATGATTGGAGTTCTATATTTTTATTTGTGTCACTTTTATCAGTACATGATTTGAACTTTTAATATGACGTAACCAATTCATCTTTCGAACTATGAATAGAACCGAACAGCAAGCTATAAAATTCCCCAAAATAACTAGTGTAAAACAATTCAATTTTACAAGTCTTGAATAATTGAAAATGAAAACAAATATTTATCTCTGCGTTTTTAAGGTCTGTATATTAGTCTTTTTGGAACTTTGGGTCCTCATTGCTCTTAAAACTTTATTCACAAATTAACGTCAATGAACCAAAATATGTACAACTGCTCTTTGCGTTCTCTAATAAACTTTTTATAACTATTATATTTAAAATATATACACTTGGTACAAATTTGTATTATTACATATTTGTCCTGGGTCAGGAACAAACTTGTCCTCTTGTTACAATTATGTACCCTACAAGTTTACACACTTGTCCTTGATACATTGATATATCAACTTCATTTGTAAAGTGTAAGATATGCCTCCCTTTTTCCGAAAGTCACACCAAAATATGTTACAACGAATGCAAGAATTTTATTTTGTTGCACGATAGGAGTTACTGTAAACCAACTTATTCGCGGATATTTTATTTCGCGTTAAGCCCTTCTATCCCTTTTTGCGACGATTTAATTTCGCGATTTTCAAATTTTCTTGAAATATTTGAATAAGGAACGATCTATTTTTTACATATTCGCGACGATTTATATTCGCGTTATTTTTCTTCTCGCGAAAGCCGCGAAAATAAGTTGGTTTACAGTATGCCTGTTCTCATATGACATGGTTTGCATTCTAGGTGACATTGTTTTAACTATATGAAAATGGGGCTCAACATAAACACTTTGCTTGATACAAATGCAGTGTAACTAATCTAAATACAAAAGAGAACGATTGTAATAGGTTTTGTGGTTTACTGAATGTCTATAAAGATATTCACTGCAAGCGATTCAATATATTCAAAGTATGTTACCAATTTGAATTAAACGATTTACAAAAAAAGACTTTGTATCAATTTCCTAAAACACTTTTACATTGCTCTGTGCAATAACGGATGCTTACGCCAAAAGATTCACACGGTTTGTTTTGTATTTTTAAATTTGAATTTCCTTATTGACTATTCAAACATTGTTTTTATTCTCTGTGGCTGTTCGTTATTAAACTGGTAGGATAATAATTATTATTATTATAATCTAGTCTACACAATATTCAATAAACACACGACATTGACAAACTCTCTGACCTGAGCTAAGGTGTTCATTAAAATCCTCAGGTATACTGAACAGTTGATTCTTTCCTTACATAACGTCATTCAGGATCAAAGAGACAAATTTGTACAAACTTCATCGTTACGAAATATGATGTATAAGCGAAAGGGACGAATCATCTAATCTTTAATGTATGAATTTATTCAAATTAATGTTAACTGTTAACCGATTCGGTTCCCTCGGTGCAAAATTGTAATTACTTTGATATAGTGACGTCATGAGCATAATTTGAATACATAGAAATTTAAACATGAACTTTGATTTACTTACTTAAAATCTACTGAGATCATACTCCAAAAATAAATACTAGTAGTTGACTCTTAAAGCTATTGCTAGTAAAATTGGTAGTTGGAATTAAATAGTATGAAAAATAATAAGACAAGGTATTAACACTAATATACAGACCTTAAAAACGCAGAGATAAGTATTTGTTTTCATTTTCAATTATTCAATACTTGTGAAATAGATATATTAAAATAAAGATTAGACCGTTGGTTTTCCTGTCTGAATAGTTTAACACTAATTATTTTGGGGGATTTTATAGCTTGCTGTTCGGTGTGAGCCAAGGCTCCGTGTTGAAGGCCGTCCTTTGACCTATAATTGTTTAATTTTGTCTCATTGTGACTTGGATGGAGTGTTGTCTCATTGGAACGCAAACCACATCTTCCTTTTTCTATCAATGTCTTTCATTATTTGCTCGTCCAAATATTAAGTTCTATTTATAGTTCGAAAGATCGAAAAATGAATTGGTTACGTCATATTAAATGTTCAAATCATGTTCTGATAAAAGTGACACAAACAAAAATATAGAACTCCAAGGGAAAATCAATACGGAAAGTCCTTTATAAAATGGCAAAATCAAATCTCAAATACCTCAAACGAATAGAACACAGCTGTCATTTTCCTGACTTAGTACAGGCATTTTCTCATATAGAACTTGGTGGATTATATCTGGTTCTATAGAACATGTTTTGTCTTTAATAATGTGTGTGTCCACCATCAAAAGCAATCACTGATGGTAACCATCGCCTAAATGAGAAGTCGACCAGTTCTTTGTTCAGTGGTATATCAAAAGCTCCAATCAAGAAATTCGTGCCGCGTCAATTTATAGTGCGGTATGTCTTACTGCCAGTTTATTCGTGTATCTAGTCAAGAGGAGTATAACAACATGACTACAAATAATTTGAAGATAAATCGTGATTTGATGAGAGAGAAAAAAAGAGGTTTTCAAGTTCCTCAGTATTATGTTAGTTTATATCATTTGTCACATATATCTGGGCCGCAAATTCACAAATTTATTTCGAATTTTATTCAGTTTGTGAGTAATTCGCCCTAGTTTACAAATCATTAATTTCTAGAAAAAAATAATTTGAATCGTATTTTCACCACGACATTGTTTCACATGAGTCTAGGAAATGTCCTTTCTTATTCAGCAAATACACGAGTCTTTGTATTTTTCAGTCAAAAAGTAAATCACCAGGCAATATGAGGCAAGCAATGTTTTTAAAGGTAATATTGATGGCTTCCTTGTTCAGTGGTGACTGTTACAAAGACAACATAGTACCAGGAAAAACGGCAACATTATAATCAACATAAAGAATTACACGTTGATTGTTCTTACAAAAACCTGACAATTGTTCCAGATACACCAGCTGACACGATTTACCTCTATCTACAACATAATTCAATCGGACACATATTCAATAAAACCTTTGCCCTTTTGAATAGGTTGGTTGTCTTAGATCTATCTTTTAACAAAATCACTGAAATCGATGAAGATTTATTCAAAGGCCTCTAGAACCTGCGGTTTCTTTATCTCAGTAGTAATCAAATATTTAGTTTGCCAAATAAAGGCAACAGAAGTATACCACTGTTCGAAATTCATAAATCGATTGAGAAAAAACAAATCCGGGTTACAAACTAAAACTGAGGGAAACACATCAAATATAAGAGGAGAACTACAACACAACAGAAACACAACATTAAAATGTAACACACACACAAACGAACTATAATATAACAATGGCCATTTTCCTGACTTGGAACAGGACATTTTAAGAAAAAAATGGTAGGTTGAACCTGGTTTTGTGGCTAGCCATACCTCCCGCTTTTATGGCAATGTTAAATATAACATTAAAATGACAAAATTACATGGCAGGACTACAATACAAATAAATGGGAGAACATATAGGACAGAGAAACATACGAACAAAAGGTACCAGGTCTAAAATCTAATACGCAAGACGAGCGCTTCGTCCACACAAGACCAACCAGCGACGCCCAGATAAAAAAAGTACGAAAGCCAAAACAAGTACAAAGCTGAAGAGCACTGAGGATCAAAAGTTCCAAAAGGTTTTGCCAAATACGGCTAAGGTTATATGTCTGGGATAAGAAAATCCTTAGTATTTAGAATAATTCATACTTTTGTAAACAGTAAATTTATAAAAATGACAATATAATAGATATACATGATAACACCGAAGTGGTGACTAACTACAGAATAAAAACGGATCCAAAAAATGTATTTAAACATCTAGTCAGTCTTACTGTGTTGAATCTATCCTATATTAATATAAACCCAATTTATGAGTACACATTTTTTGGACTTGTCAACCTTCATCACCTCATATTGAGCACTAACGGAATCGACGAAATACTAAATGATACCTTCCAATACACACCAAAGCTTGTCAATCTTGATTTATATCATAATTCATTAGAGTCAGTAACTAAAGGAATATTCAATGCACTTGGAAACCTACATGAGCTTAATCTCGAGTATAATTTCATAGAAAATATTGAAAACAACGCTTTTCAATCGTTACTCAATCTAACTGTACTGGATTTATCATCGAATGCGTTGCAGTCAGTAAATCATCAACTGTTCGCTGGGCTTACAAATTTGCGTAATCTGGATTTATCATTGAATGCGTTGCAGTCAGTAAATCATCAAATGTTCGCTGGTTTTACAAAGTTGCGTAATCTGAACTTAATGTTTAATCAAATGAAAGAAATATCAAATCATACCTTTAAAGATTTAAGTGATCTCAACATACTGGATCTATCATTTAACAAGTTGCAATCACTAAATGAAAAGACATTTTTGACATTTTTACCTATTGTGTCTGTTTGTTTTGTTCACGCATCGTTGTCAATATGATGGAACTTGATGCGACTGTCATACAAGTGAGAGGTTTAGCTAGCTATGAAACCAGGTTCAATCCACCATTTTCTACTTAAGAAAATGGCTGTACCAAGACAGGAATATGACAGTTGTCATCCGTTCGTTTGATGTGTTGGAACTTTTGATTTTGTCATTTTTGAATTTTCCTCGGAGTTCAGTATTTTTGCGATTTTACTTTTTAGGACTTAATAACCTTCAAGTTCTAAGACTAGACAATAAAAACCTAAGATATAATGCGGAACAGTTACCACCTTGGTGTTTTGAACCTTTAGGGTCACTTAAACAACTTTCTGTTCTAGAGAATAATCCTCAACGGAAAGTCCGTGGTACGATCATTCTTCCAGATGAAACAGTTAAAGATTTTAAGTGTTAGAAATGCTTGAAAAAGATGTTAATTCCGAATACGAAAGAATACTAGGGATTGGATTTTCTTCCTTACATAATCTTTCTTCACTAATTTTTAGTGGTTTCTGTAATTTTTCGTTATATAATGACACATTCAAATACACACCAAATTTGTCTCATTTAAGTATTATACATTGCAATGTTCTGTTCATAGATACAGGAACTTTTTCGCTTTTAACCAAGCTTGAATATGTACAACTATACTTTGTGTGTTATGACCTTTCCTCTAAGCCGTATACATTGATCGATATCATTTTAAGTTTATCCAAAACACAAATTGAAGTCCTCAAAATGAATAGTGTTCTTGAACGAGAAATGGTGCCTAGGAAAGATATAATTGTTCTATTGTTTGAAACGCCAATACGTGAACTTCATATAACAAACAATGACCATTGTGCTGGAAGACGCTCTTGCCGTAAAGAAAGTTCTATAGCAGCACCAGTTAGTTTGCAAAGTCTTGATTTTAGTGACAACTGGATAGATAAGATATATCTTAATCTAACTTTTGTTACATTTTTTAACTTTACGGGTAATGCACTTGGTCCGTTCTTATCGAAAAATAGCTACATGCTAACAAAAAAAAGCAGACTTGAGTATGTTTGTCTCTCAAAGAATTGCATCATCTATTTTTTCCAGGTTGTTCGTTGACCAACTGTATCTGCGCATAATTGATTTAAGTTGGAATAAGCTGTCAGATGTGAGTTTTGATATGTCTTTTTAGGTAAATTTAGAGATTCTGAATTTGTCAAGTAATGCAATACGGTTTTTGGATGACGAATCAATGACAAATATCGACATTCTTCTCAAACAAAGTAAAATAATAAAAGTTGACTTAAGCAACAATATGTTTCATTGCGACTGTTCCAATGTTCCTTTTCTGAATTGGAGGAGAATAAGTCCTCGTCATTTCATTAATTTTGATCAGTACAAATGCAATTTTAACCATACAAGTAGTTCGAAATTCAATTCATTTGAAGAAAGAATAATTGTTTTACAGAAAAATTGTTTGAAACTATATTATTTCAATAATGATCACGTGTTCCACTGTATTTATCTTCATAGCAATATTACTTATAACTGCTATTCACAGACACAGACGGAAACTCCGTTTTATGTTTTATACATTAAGAGGTAGACTTCACTTCTTATATTATAAAATAAAGTTAACGAAGCGTGTTCGGTCTATAAAACATTCAGAAAACAAGTTGGATTATATTCATGATGCCTTTCTGTCATATTCAGATGAGGATCGAGCATTTGTTGTTAATGATTGCATAAAAAATCTTCTGAAAAAAGGAAAGTTATGTTTACACCATCGTGATTTTGTTCCAGGAGAAGATATGACAGATAACATTATACATGCAATAGAAAACAGCCGAAAGACCATCTGTATAATTACAAGGTATTTTTTACAGTCTTATTAATGAATGTTTGAATTCAACATGGCTAGAAAGGAAAGTATTCACTCAATACATGGAAAAAATGTTGTCTTTCTTGTATTTTATAAACAATTATTTACTGAGGAGTTTCTTTTGGTTTTTTTATGAAGTTTATTTTGCAACAATTTAAGCTCCCCCCCCCCCCCCCCCCCCCCTCCAAAAAAAAAACTTGAATGGGAATTAAGAATTAACACCAATGTTTTTCGTATACTTTTGTAACGTGTACACAGGGTAAATAGTTATCAAAGGTACTAGGATTATAATTTTTAATACGCCAGACGCGCGTTTCGTCTACATAAGACTCCTCAGTGACGCTCAGATCAATATTGTTATAAGGCAAAACAAGTACAAAGTTGAAGAGCATTGAGGACCCAAAGTTCCAAAAAGTTGTGCCAAGCGTGTGTTTTTCTATGTAGGATGAGTTCGTTTCCAGTTTAAAACTGGATTCAAAATGTTCTACTACAAAATATTAAACAAGTTAACTTTATTCACAAATTAACGTCAATGAACCAAAATATGTACAACTGCTCTTTGCGTTCTCTAATAAACTTTTTATAACTATTATATTTAAAATATATACACTTGGTACAAATTTGTATTATTACATATTTGTCCTGGGTCAGGAACAAACTTGTCCTCTTGTTACAATTATGTACCCTACAAGTTTACACACTTGTCCTTGATACATTGATATATCAACCTCATTTGTAAACTGTAAGATATGCCTCCCTTTTTCCGAAAGTCACACCAAAATATGTTACAACGAATGCAAGAATTTTATTTTGTTGCACGATAGGAGTTACTGTAAACCAACTTATTTTCGCGGATATTTTATTTCGCGTTAAGCCCTTTCTATCCCTTTTTGCGGCGATTTAATTTCGCGATTTTCAAATTTACTTGAAGTATTTGAATAAGGAACGATCTATTTTTTTTTACATATTCGCGACGATTTATATTCGCGTTATTTTTCTTCTCGCGAAAGCCGCGAAAATAAATCGCTCGCGAAAATAAGTTGGTTTACAGTATGCCTTTTCTCATATGACATGGTTTGCATTCTAGGTGACATTGTTTTAACTATATGAAAATGGGGCTCAACATAAACACTTTGCTTGATACAAATGCAGTGTAACTAATCTAAATACAAAAGACAACGATTGTAATAGGTTTTGTGGTTTACTGAATGTCTATAAAGATATTCACTGCAAGCGATTCAATATATTCAAAGTATGTTACCAATTTGAATTAAACGATTTACAAAAAAAGACTTTGTATCAATTTCCTAAAACACTTTTACATTGCTCTGTGCAATAACGGATGCTTACGCCAAAAGATTCACACGGTTTGTTTTGTATTTTTAAATTTGAATTTCCTTATTGACTATTCAAACATTGTTTTTATTCTCTGTGGCTGTTCGTTATAAAACTGGTAGGATAATAATTATTATTATTATAATCTAGTCTACACAATATTCAATAAACACACGACATTAACAAACTCTCTGACCTGAGCTAAGGTGTTCATTAAAAACCTCAGGTATACTGAACAGTTGATTCTTTCCTTACATAACGTCATTCAGGATCAAAGAGACAAATTTGTACAAACTTCATCGTTACGAAATATGATGTATAAGCGAAAGGGGCGAGTCATCTAATCTTTAATGTATAAATTTATTCAAATTAATGTTAACTGTTAACCGATTCGGTTCTTTCGGTGCAAAATTGTAATTACTTTGATATAGTGACGTCATGAGCATAATTTGAATCGAAGAAATTTAAACATGAACTTTAGTTTACTTACTTAAAAACTACTGAGATCATACTCCAAAAATAAATAGTTGACTCTTAAAGCTATTGCTAGTAAAAATTGGTAGTTGGAATTAAATGGTATGAAAAATAATAAGACAAGGTATTAACACTAATATACAGACCTTAAAAACGCAGAGATAAATATTTGTTTTCATTTTCAATTATTCAATACTTGTAAAATAGAATTGTTTTACACTAGTTATTTTTGGGAATTTTATAGCTTGCTGTTCGGTTCTATTTATAGTTCGAAAGATGAATTGGTTACGTCATATTAAATGTTCAAATCATGTACTGATAAAAGTGACACAAATAAAAATATAGAACTCCAAGGGAAAATCAATACGGAAAGTCCTTTAGAAAATGGCAAAATCAAATCTCAAATACATCAAACGAATAGAACACAGCTGTCATTTTCCTGAATTAGTACAGGCATTTCCAAATATAGAACTTGGTGGATTATATCTGGTTTTATAGAACATGTTTTGTCTTTAATAATGTGTGTGTCCACCATCGAAAGCAATCACTGATGGTAACCATCGCCTAAATGAGAAGTCGACCAGTTCTTTGTTCAGTGGTATATCAAAGGCTCCAATCAAGAAATTCGTGCCGCGTCAATTTATAGTGCGGTATGTCATATTACCAGTTTATTCGTGTATCTAGTCAAGAGGAGTATAACAGCATGACTACAAATAATTTGAAGATAAATCGTGATTTGATGAGAGAGAAAAAAAGAGGTTTTCAAGTTCCTCAGTATTCTGTTAGTTTATATAATTTATCCCATAAATCTGGGCCGTAAATTCACAAAATTTATTTCGAATTGTAGAAAAAATAATTTGAATCGCATTTTCTGCACGACATTGTTTCACATGAGTCTAGGAAATGTCCTTTCTTATTCAGCAAATACACGAGTCTTTGTATTTTTCAGCTAAAAAGGAAATCACCGGGCAATATGAGGCAAGCTGTGTTTTTAAGGGTATTATTGATGGCTTCCTTGTTCAGTGGTGACTGTTACAAAGACAACATAGTACCAGGAAAAACGGCAACAAATTTCCACTGTAAACATTATAATCAACATAAAGAGATACACGTTGATTGTTCTTACAAAAACCTGACAGTTGTTCCAGATACACCAGCTGGCACGGTTTACGTCTATATACAACATAATTTAATCGGACACATATTCAATAGAACCTTTTCCCTTTTGAAAAGGTTGGTTGTCTTAGATCTATCTTTTAACAAAATCACTGAAATCGATGAAGATTCATTCAAAGGCCTCCAGAACCTGCGGTTTCTTTATCTCAGCAGGAATCAAATATTAAGATTGCCAAAAAATGTATTTAAACATCTAGTCAGTCTTACTGTGTTGGATCTATCCTACAATAATATAAACCCAATTTATGAGTTCACATTTTTTGGACTTGTCAACCTCCAGCACCTCATATTAAGCACTAACGGAATCGACGAAATACTAAATGATACCTTCCAATACACACCAAAGCTTGTCAAACTTGATTTATATCATAATTCATTAGAGTCAGTAACTAAAGGAATGTTCACTGCACTTGGAAACCTACATGAGCTTAATCTCGAGTATAATTTCATAGAAAATATTGAAAACAACGCTTTTCAATCGTTACTCAATCTGACTGTACTGGCTTTATCATCTAATGGGTTGCAGTCAGTAAATCATCACATGTTCGCTGGGCTTACAAATTTGCGTAATCTGGATTTATCATTGAATGCGTTGCAGCCAGTAAATCATCAAATGTTCGCTGGTTTTACAAAGTTGCGTAAGCTGAACTTAATGTTTAATCAAATGAAAGAAATAGCAAATCATACCTTTAAAGATTTAAGTGATCTCAACATACTGGATCTATCATTTAACGAGTTGCAATCACTAAATGAAAAGACATTTTTAGGACTTAATAACCTTCAAGTTCTAGTACTAGAAAATAATAACCTAGGATATAATACGAAACAGTTACCACCTGGGTGTTTTAAACCTTTAGAGTCACTTAAACAACTTTCTGTTCTAGAGAATAATCCTCAACGGAAAGTCCTTGGTACGTTCATTCTTCCGGATGAAACAGTCAAAGATTTGAAAATGTTGGATATGCTTAAATTAGATGTTAATTCCGATAAGGAAAGAATACTAGGGATTGGATTTTCTTCTTTACATAATCTTTCTTCACTTATTTTTAGTGTTGTCTGTAATTTTTCTTTAAATAATGACACATTCAAATACACGCCAAATTTGACTAATTTAAGCATTATAGATTGCAATGTTATGTTCATAGAGACTGGAACTTTTCGTATTTTAACCAAGCTTGAATATGTGCAACTAGACTTCGTTTGCTATGACCTTTTATCTAAGCCTTATACATTGATTGATATCATTTCAAGCTTTTCCATGACACAAATTAAAGTCCTGAAAATGAATAGTGTTCTTGTAAGAGAAATGGTGCCTTGGAAAGATATTAATGTTATGCTGTTTGAAACTCCAATACGTGAACTTCATCTTACAAACAATGACCGTTGTGCTGGAACGCGCTCTTTCCGTAAAGAAAGTTCTATACCAGCACCACTCAGTTTGCAAAGTCTTGATTTAAGTTACAATCAGATAAATAAGATCTATCTTAATCTAACGTTTGTTACATTTCTGAACTTAGAGGGTAATGCACTTGGTCCGTTCTTAGCGGAAAATAGCTACATGCTAACAGAAATAAGCAGACTTCAGTATGTTTGTCTCTCAAAGAATTCAATCCAGCATCTATACTCCAAATTGTTCGTTGACCAACCGTATCTGCGCATAATTGATTTAAGTTATAATAAGCTGACAGATGTGAGTTTTGACTTATCTCATTTAGTAGATTTAGAGATTTTAGACTTGTCAAGCAATACCATCCGGTTTTTGGATGACGGATCAATGAACAACATTGACAGACTTCTCGAGATAAGTAAAAGTATAAAGGTTGACTTCAGCAACAATACATTTCGATGTAACTGTTACCGAATCCCATTTTTAAATTGGACGTGGAGTCGTAGTCATCGTTTCATAAACTTTGATACATACACATGCAGATTTGACAATGGAAGCATTCTGGCATTAAATTCACTTAAAAAAGGAACTATAATCGATCTACAGCGTGACTGTTTGAATTTTTCAATGTCAATAATTATCACATGTTCTGCAATATTTGTCTTCATAGCAATATTAGTTACAATCTCTATTCACAGACACAGACAGAAACTTCGTTTCATTTTTTACACATTTAGAGGAAGAATTCACTTCTTATATTATAAAACAAAGTTTAAGAAACGGTTTCGGTCTACAAAACATTCAGAAAACAAGATGGACTTTATGTATGATGGCTTTGTGTCATATTCTGATGAAGATCGAGCATTTGTTTTGAATGATTGCATCACAAATCTCGAAGAAAAAGGAAATCTAAAGTTATGTTTACATCACCGTGATTTTGTTCCAGGAGAAGATATAACAGATAACATTATACATGCAATTGAAAGCAGCCGAAAGACAATCTGTATAATAACAAGATCTTTTCTGCAGTCTTACTACTGTATGTTTGAATACAACATGGCTAGAATGGAAAGTATTCACTCAAGAAATGGAAAAAATGTTCTTTTTCTTGTATTTTATGAACAATTATTACCAGAGGAGTTACCTTTGGTTTTATATGAAGTTCTTCAGAAACAAACATATATTGAATTTCCGAATGACGAACATGGTAATAGGATTTTCTTGGGAAAAATAAAGGACGGTATATCTGCTTAGTCATCTAGTCAGCAATAACAGTAAGCAGATATCCAGTTGAGGAACATGGACATAGGATTTTCTTCGTGACATTATGAATGATGGTATACGTAGACATCAAAGTAATTACAACATAAGCAAATATCAGAATAATGAACATGGGAATAAGATTCTCTTGGGGAATATAAGACATAAAAATGAAGATGTGGTATGATTGCCAATGAGACAACTCTCCTCCACAAGAGACCAAAAGACACAGAAATTAACAACTATAGGTCACCGTACGGCCTTCAACAATGAGCAAAGCCCATACCGTACATAGTCAAAGGCATTGAAATGACAAATGTAAAACAATTCAAACGAGAAAACTAACGGCCTAATTTATGTACAAAAAATGAAAGAAAAAAAAAAACAAATATGTAACACATCAACAAACGTCAACCACTGAATTACAGGCTCCTGACTTGGTACGGGCACATACATACAGAATGTGGCGGATTAAACATGTTAGCGGGATCCCAACCATTCCATAACATGGGACAATGGTGTAACAGTACAACATAAGAATAAGAGTTGCCATTTCTGCTTAAGCATCTTGGCAGCTATAACAGTGAACAGATAACCGGAAAACATTTAATTATGATTTTCGAGGGGAACGAGAAAACTGTGTACTCCCATACACTTTGGAGAACAAAAAAATTCTGCCCAGTAATTCAGTATATTTAGGAATGAATATTATTTGTACTGTCACGTAATGTTATCTTTTAGCAGTAATTATTGCCATATAAAACGGTGGGTATGTCCTGTACCAAGTCATAAATATGACAGGTGTTATCAAATAGCTGTTTCTGTGTTTTTTGGCGTTTGTAAATATGTGTTTGTAGCAGTTCAATGTTTGTTGTTTCCTCTTATAGTTGATTTGTGGTTTGTGATCCGTATTTTGTTCAATTAAATCGATTGAGGCCTTTATTTATACATCTCTATTTCCTGCAACATTAGACATGGTTCCAAGAGATTATCAAAACAACGTAATTAAATCACCACAGCTGCATTGCAGAGAACTATCTGCTAAACTAGAGTTTGGACTCTAAATAACTAGACTGGCCTACTGAAGACGTCATAAAATTTAAGAATGCCGTTAAGAGTCACGCTATAATATACTGCCTGTAAAATATCATTATCTTCAACTAAATTTAGCAGACGAAAATGTAATTTTATTTCAACATAATTGTATTGAAAATTAACGATTAAAATAAACTTGCAAAAATATCAGTACAATTAATAGAACGGATTCTACTTTATTAAAATATTATAACAAAAATACAATCATACTAAAAATAGAAAATTTTAAAGTTCTGATTGTGCTTCATGAAAAGTTCATGATTGTCCAACATTATTTAATGATGTGAAATGTTCTTGAATAAACAAGAGACTTGATGTTTGTTTTGTTAAAAAACAAGAAGTAATTATTTTCTGTTCAAACTATAATTTGATATAAATCTTATTTATGTTTAAAATATGTTTTTTCTTAAATCATCAAATTAAAGCACTTTTCACTGATATATAACATTTCTGAGTTTTAAAATCATCTCTGATTAATGCACTTTTCATTAAATGATACAACATTTCTTATTCATAAAATATATCTAAAGTGTTACTTTTATTTATACAAAAAAAAAACCAATACCATCATGTGTGATTATTTGTTTTTCTTTTAGATTTTAAAAAAAATTTTATATTATGCAAACAATTAAAAAAGAGTACTTCAATTGTACTTTATATGTGCGAAAAAAAATGTAAATATTATTTTATGTTTGTGTTTGTTTCATATTTTGCATGTTACAATGATTAGTTACCTGCAATAACCTGCTGCACACTATACAAACAAATTAATCACTATCAAAATAATTCCCGACTGTCCAACAAATAAATTTCCTAATTGTCCCACAAACATCTTCCCGATTGTTCCTACAAAATTTCATTACCTTTTAACCTTTTTTATTAATGTTCATTCATACATACCTGTGAATAGCTTTTAATCATATTTAAATCACTATTAAACTGGTAATTTCCAAACCAGGAAAAGATATTAATACAATAATAGTAAATTGATAACGGAAAGTGCGAACTATTTCCGAAAATATTTTCTTTCCAAACAAGCTAGATAATACATATCGATAAATAAGAATTTCATACATACTTATTTATTTACAATTAAAAATGAAATATTATGATTTAGTTTAGATGAATTGTAATGTATTATTGATAACCAGAGAGAAACCCTGGATTTCTTGTAAAAATAAAGAGACCCTTCACTAGAATGCTGGACTAGTGAAGTAAATTGTTAACAACATGCAATATATTGTGGAATAAAAAAAAAACCTTTTAACCTGTAATTTCAAAAAGTGGGACAATCGGGAAGACATCGTTTATTTACACATTGTTTTCAAAATAATGGAGTTGTATGAGACTGTCACACAGGTGAGAGGTTTAGCTAGCTATAAAACAAGGTTCATATTATTTTCTTTATACGAAACTGCCTGTACCAAGTCAGGAATATGACACTTGATATCCATTCCTTTAAATGTTTTTGATCTTTTGATTTGATATTTTGATAATGGACTTTTCGTTTTGAATTTTTGGTATTTTTGGTATTTTACCTTTTAGCTTTCTCGTTTGAGATTTATAGAGATCATAATTCAAAAATATATTTTATTCTAATAAATTATTGTTGGTTAACAGTATTTCTCGTGTTTGATTTGATATAATTTATCTAATAAGTTATTTAAATACTCATAAAAATCCTATTGGTTATATTCAGTTACCCGAAAAAAAATCAAGACACGGAATTTACAGTAATAGGTAATAATATTTATCGATCGTTATCACTATTCTCAATGGTTTGTAATCGGCTAAAAAACTGTTAAAAAGGAAATAAAGTAAAATTCATAAAAGGATACTAAAACTTCTCAATGTAAAACAGTTTACATTTCCTTATGTGTTATCTTCATTTGTCAACAATATTATGGTAGTTACAATGTTTGAAAGGTTCAAATTAGAGACGACAATAGTTTACTGATTACCAAATCATATAAACCAATTAAATAATACAAAGCAAGTTGAAAAAAAATACCCGATCTCCAAAAGTAGCTAAACAAAGTAGTAATACGCTTGACAAAATCATATATTTATAAAAGAAAACTTTTGAGAAAATTAAGACGCAAACATGAGAATTTCTAATTCTATAGAATGATATAGTTTTAAAAAGCAATTCTCTTAATGTATCCAATAAATAATGACCCCTGTTTTTCAATATTGGAAAGACTTCATCATAAAAAATACGTGTACCCTAATAAAGTCTTACTATGCATTTTTGAACCGTAATCACTTCACCATGAATGTTATGTACTAAGTATTTAAAAATGTAATCTTTTGTTATTCATTTTTTTTTGTGTGTGTTTTTTTTAACAATTCTTGTTTTTATAGATATTTGTATTTTTGTATTTGTACAAATAAAACATCAGGAAACCATCTTTGTGAGCTGTAATGAATAATGTAATTAGGGCATGTTCAGATGCTGCCAAACATCAAAATTGTTTTATCTATTGATTTTAAGTTCTGATTTCTGATTTTTTTCTCAAAAGTATAGGTCGTTCTTTATTGAAAGTTGCTATGGAAGTTGTATGAATTTTTTTTAATTTAGAAATGTATACATATTTCAGAATCAAATAATTAAATGAGTACTAACCAAATACATTTTTTATATACTATTTATGTTTAATGAGGCCATGATAAGGTACCGGTTTATTGTGTATCCTAATAAAAAATGTCAAAATTATCAATAACATGGCAATTCACTGAATGGGCTAAAAATAAATGAAATCACATGAATTCAAAACGGACTGTGACAAGTTTGTTGACAGGATAAGCCTCGGAATATTATCAGCTATGCATATATCGTTTGCAGTCACATTCAGTAGTAGCTGTAAAAAAGGAGCACGAATAAACCGGTAATAATGCCAGATTTATATCGTGGAACATTGGCATTTATAAATCGAGAGATATAGTAAACAGACCAAGGCATTAAGCGATCGACTCATTCCTTGTTGTGACCGTAGAAGTTCTGACAAGATAATCTAAGTTGTTCTTCTTCAAATGATTGCTAGAACAGATTTTATTTTAGGAATAAATCTGTCCTCCTTTTAGACAATAATGAGAGCAACTTCTAAAATATTGTATTGTCATTTTCTTTGGTTTTTATTATATATTAAGTTCACATGCACAAAAATAGAAAAAGCCAATGGTATACGAACACCATATACAAAAGGTAAAATACACATCAACATTGTTATTCTATTCTTAGATGTTTATAGAACAATGAGTTGAAACATTTGCCAGAAGGAACAAAGTCATCTAAATTTACATAATATTGATACCTTTGGAACTCGAGGCATATGCAATATTGACAAAAGTAAATCTAATATATCTGATTGTCTGATACAAATAGAAAGTATCACACATATTTTGCAGCTGTATGTTTCAATACCTTTTGTTACTTTGCAAATAAATTATGTTTAAACTAAGCTGTCTGAAAAATATTTGTTTATCTTCAATGTTTTACTAGCATTTTGCTGTGGAACGTACAGAATTTGGTGCTTTTTTCGACGTGGACTAAAGGAACATTGGAAAGAAAGACTTTATAATTTATTTTAATAAAAAATGATGTGTATATACTTTTTTATTCCCAAAAGGAGGTATGATAACAAGAGGCTCTCAAGAGCCTGAATCGCTCACCTGTATTTCAGAGGAGAAGATTTTTAAATGTTAGCAAACTTGATGAACAAATTGTGTAAAATTGTCTTTAAAGGGCAATAACTCCTTAAGGGGTCGATTGACAATTTTGGTCATATTAACTTTTTTGTAGATCTTACTTTGCTGAACATTATTGCTGCTTACAGTTTATATATATCTATAATAATATTCAAAATAATAACAAAAAACTGCAAAATTTTGTTAAAACT